CTGGGGTCAGAGACTGTCCCGCGCCCAGGCTGTGGAGACCGGGAACCTCTTCTTGTGTTCCCCTCCAGGTTCTGTGAAACGGTGATGACAGGAAGCGGAAGCTGAGTGGGTGCCGTCTGGCTGAGGAAGAGACAGGGATGGGCCACAGATGCATGTTTCCTTCCTAAAGGTCATTTGCTTTGCTGTGCGATCCCATTCGGAGAAGGCGCAGCGCAGCAAGGTCCCTTCACGGTGTAGGGGCGCCTGGTTGTGTGTCTCGCTGCCTGGGGACCTCGGGGCCATCACATTCTGGCCTGGTTCGCTGGGGCCCAGGAGACAGCTCCCCTGGCTGTGCTCTGTCCAGCTGAAAGCCCAAGGGGAGCTTAACGAAGCTGACGGGCTCAGAGCGGCGCTGTTGGCGCACTGTAACTTGTGAGCCTCTTGGGCATATCGGTCACCCAGAGAGTCCTCCCAGCTACTCACCAATGAGTTTAAACGCGAGGGGGTCCTTCCTGGTGGGAGAGGCTTGGGTGTAAAAAGATTTCCAGCAGACGTTCAGTGCCTGCCTTTGACTAGCTCTGTCCATGGGAGTTCTCCCCAGCTTTTCCTCCCCAAATAGGAGGGTGAGTCACAGCTATGGATTTACCTAAACATTTTTCCTGACCCTCCTGCTCCTCCTCCTGCACCCTCCACCCACTCAGTGCCCACTCAGGAGACCCAGCTCCAGTGGCGCCTCCCCTGCCGAGCCGGCCGCAGCCCTGCAGGCAGAACTCATCACTTTTGCTTGTGCCCTGAGCAGTGCTTAATCCTCCCTGGGACTGTGGCTTCCCACCAGGGCCCTGTGAACAGGGCTAACTGACCACCCATTTGCCAGGCCGCTGACCTCTTTTCCCCTAGACTGTCAGATTAAAGAATGACAGCAGAATTAACACAAAAATAGCCGCCTAGTGTGAAAGGCCCGTCTTGAACCATAAATATATAGGTCCTATAATAGAGTTGTATCTTATTGGTCACGCTGCATGATAAGGCTGCACCTGATTGGTTAATTCTTGGTAGCAGAAACCCTTATAAACAACTACAGACACCTGATTTTTAAAAAAGTCATGTTGGAGCAAAAAAGAGTAGGTAATTACTACTATTGTTCTTTAGTAAAGCAATAAAAATTATACCTACCTTTTGTTAGATTGGCAAAAATATATATTTTTGGTGTGCTGCAGAATTTTAGTAATTAGTTTGTGGGCCATGAGATAAAAATGGTTGTAAGTCGCCGTCCCATAAGATAGATCTTATCCATTCAGAATGAAACTGTGGCTTGATAGGAATGATAATCACAGCCAACTTCTGTGGAGAGCGTCCTCTGCTCAGGAACTAGCCCGGGGACTTTGCACACACGTCTCACCATCATCCTAAATGTCAGGTAGGCACGTCCATACCATTACTGTCTCCACTCTCCTTTATCCTGGCAGACAGAAGAGAGTAATGGTTGAGAACGTGGGCTTTGGTGCCAGGGAGACCAGTCTGCAACTCCCAAGTCCGTCGTTTGCCAGCTGTGTGACGGGGGGAAGGTGGGTATCACGGTGAGCTTGTCTGGAGGAAGGGGTAACAGCCCTACTTCACAGGTGTGGGGAGGCCATGATGAGCTCTTGAGTAAAACCCTTATCTGGCATAGCCAGCAAGGGCACGCCCTGCATCCCTGCCCCTACGAGCATTTGGAGGATGGGGAGCTTATCCAATTCCTCTCCATACCCCTGAAGCCCCAACTGCGCCTGCCTTCTGTGGATGCTCCATACTGTAGACTCTACAGTGCGCCTGGGAAGGCATATGAGCATTTCTTTAATTATTGTCAGTTGAGTCCAGTAGGGTTGGCAGAGCCACGTTCTGGAAACGCACCGTGCCAAAGGCAAGTACGTTGTTAGCCTGACCATTAGCTCAGGTGCCAGGGGGTGGGTTTCATTATCTAAGTTCAGCCAGGCTTAAAGAACAGGGGCAATTATCTGGGCTTAGCCAGGAGTGACTATTACAAAGAAGCCACAAGAATAAAAAATTACAGCTTGATCTTTAACCATGATTTCTCATAATTTCCTTTGTTTTAAACTCTAGTAAAACTTCCTAGAATTATACTGTGTATAATAAACGTGCTGGTCCACTGTCTCTCCATCAGAGGATGGCTGTCCCACCAAGCCTCTACGTCTATTTCTTCCATTTTCTCAACCCCTAGTGCCCCCACTCAGGACTCTTGTCCGCTCTCTAGAAATACTTTATACCGTACAAATTTGAGGAGGTGCTCCTCCCCTGCTCTGCAGGTGGACACCTTGAAAATGGGCAGCCCTTGCCAAAACCGGTTTGGCTCAGTGGATAGAGCATCAGCCTGCGGACTCAAGGGTCCCAGGTTCGATTCCGGTCAAGGACATGTACCTCGATTGCGGGCACATCCCCTGTGGCAGTTGTGCAGGAGGCATCCCCTTCTCTCTCATCGATGTTTCTAGCGCTCTATCCCTCTCCATTCCACTCTGGAAAAATTTAATTAAAAATATATTTTAAAAAAGAAGAAGAAAAAGCGCAGCCTTGGCGACTCTCGTGTTTAGCGTCTGTCCGGGGCTACGGACTACATGAGGTGACACCGGCAGATGGGGAGTCTGGGCCGAAGAAGGAGCTCTGTGCCGTGTGGCACGGAGCAGGCCTCCCGGAGTTGCTGTGGGCCCGCTGCCTGGCTGCCAGGACCCATAGCCCCGGGGCGGGCAGTTCAGAGGTCCCACTCCCAGTTTCAGGAGGAGATGCTGGGTCTGATATTCTGCACCTGAGATGGGGTGCAGAGTAACTTCCCCGGAAAGTGCTGTCTTTGGGCCTTGGTTTCTAAAGGACACAAGCCTGTTTGAATGAGTTCGCAGGATTTGTCAATAGGAGTCACTGGCATCTCACAGACGTGATAATAGTTGGAGAAAGTGTCCTCTCACCAGGACACCCGCAGCCTCAGGCCTGGTGTCACCCAAAGCCCCCTGGAGGGGCCAAGGACCGGCCCTGTTGAGACCCACCAAGAACATGTGAGCTGGGGAAGGCATGGTGCCCTTCTCTCTGGCCTGCTTCCCGCCTCCCTCTCCCCACAGTCCTCTCAGAGGCGGAGCGAGAGGAGCTGGTGCGGAGGGTGCGGGCTTAGTTCTGAGGGAGAGGAGACAGCAGGAGTGGGGGGTCTCTGAGGAGTGGGGAAGTGAGACCACCCCGCCCACTGCCATCGTGGGAGTGGGGTGTGGGGGGAGCCTGAGAACCAGGAGGCCCGGCTCTGCACCCAGTTCTTCTTGAGGCCCCAGGCCTTGCTCTTGGGTAGGAGCTGTGAGGAAGGGGCGCCCCTGGCCCCCCGCCTGTGAGGTATGTGCTTGGTGAGGTCCCAGGTGGTGAAGAGACAGCTTCCCGCCTTGCAGCGGGCACTTGCACAGTCCTTGGAGCGTCCGGGTGCCGGCACTCAGCTATGAGCTCTGGGGACAAAGAGTCCATTTTACTGGAGATATTAAGTAGCTTGGAGAAGGTTCCAGCACTGCAGGCCACTGGAAGGGAGCGGGTTTGAATTCCGGTCGAAGAAGCCCTAAATCCAGAAGCAGGATGGCTCCTGGGAGCGGGTTATAGGGGACCCTGCACGGGTGGCAGCAGCCGCCATGGGGCTGGGGTGGGGGAGGTGATCGCCAGGGAGAGAGGCGGAGCTGGGAGCAGGGGGCTGAGCCACCTGTGCTCCCTGAAGAGACACCAGCTCAGGGAGCAAAAGGCCCCTGAGGAGGGAGAGGAGGAGGGAGAGGAGGTGGGAGAGGAGATGGGAGGGGAGGAGGGAGGGGAGGTGGAAGGGGAGGTGGGAGAGGAGGGAGAGGAGGTGGGAGGGGAGGAGGGAGGGGAGGTGGGAGAAGAGGAGGGAGGGCAGGAGGGAGGGGAGGTGGGAGAGGAGGTGGGAGGGGAGGAGGGAGGGGAGGAGAGAGGGGAGGTGGGAGGGAGACCAGAGAAGGAGGCTGCCCTTCCTCACCTGCGTCCTCTGGTCCCCCTGTGCGCACGTGGGTGGGAGCGTCTCCCTCCTCTCTCTCTCTCTCTCTCTCTCTCTCTCTCTCTCTCTCTCTCTCTCTCTCTCTCTCTCACACACACACACACACACACACACACACACACACACACACAGCACCTTCCCTGCGCCCCCGCCGGCCGGGCCACTCCCCTGCCTGTGGGCCAGGCCGCCGCCACCTGCTGCCGCCGCGGGTCCGGGGGAGCCTCCCGCGCCTCCCCGCCCCGCCCGCGCCCCGCGGGGCCCCATCCTCCGGGGCCAGACTCGGGGGGAGGGCGCGCTCCCGGGCGCGGAGGCGGCGGAGGGCGGAGCGCGGCGCCGTCGCCTCCCCCCGCGAGCGCCCCTCCCGCGGCTGCCGCAGCCCGGTCCGCGTCAGCGTGGCTCCGGGCGGGTCGCTAGGTAACGGCGGGCTCCGCAGCCGGCGCCGGGGAAGCCCGGGCGTCAGCAGCGGCGGAGCGGGACCCCTCCCGCGGACTGCGGCCTCCTGGCCTCGCCGCGCCCTCCCCGGCGCGCTGCCCCTGCGGCCGGCGCTCGGGCCGGACCCGCGAAAGTTTCTGGGCTCCGCGCCTGCGGGCGCCCGGCGCGGCGGCTGGGGCGGCGCGGCCCCTGGGCGCCCGGCTCCCGGCCCGCGGGGGGCAGCGCGGCGCCCGCACGGCCCCTCCGCCCCGCGCTGCCGCCACGCGCTCCGCCCGCCCGGCCCCCGCGCGGGGCTGAGCAGCCCGGGCGCCGCCCGCAGCCCCCGCTCCGCGCCCGGCTCGCCGTCTGCGCGGCGGCGGCATGAGCAGCGCCCTCCGCGCCCCGCGCCCCGCGGCCGGCCCCCGCCGCCGGCCCGCGAGCCCGCGCCGCCCGGGAGCATGAGGCGGGAGCCGGCAGCCGCCTCCTCGCGCTCCGCCTCGCCGTCCTCGCCGTCCTCCGGCTCCCGCGCCCCGGGCCGGGGCCGGGCTGTGGCTCCTGCGTGCCCCGCGCACCCCCCGCCCGCCTCCGGATGCGCTGCTCGGTAAGCCAGGCCCCGCGCCGCCCGGGAACAAAGCCCCTGCCCGGCTCCCCCCGGAGCCCCGGCTTCCGATGGAGCCCCTGGATCTCCTCCTCCAAACCCGCCCGCGCTCCCTCCGCCATCAGCGGCAGCCAGCGCAGGCGGCCCCGCAGGGAGACCTGTTTGGTCCGGGGGAGGCGGTCTGCACGCCTCTGGGCTCAGGCTCCCGGGTTCAGGCTCCTGTGCCTGTGCCCCGGGGCGGGTGGGGGGCGCTCAGGCCTGGTGACCCGGTCATGGGGGTCCAGGCAGTGCTGGGCCCTGCGCCTGGAAACCACCCCAGGAGGTAGGCTCCCTCCTTCCATGGCTCAGATTTGGAAACTGAGGCCCAGGGAGATTGGTTGGATGGCTTAATCAAGGTCACAAGGCCATGAGGTGGGAGACCAGGCTGGGACCCGGGGTGCTCTGTCTACTCTCCCCCACCTGACCCCTCTGTCACAGACACGCCGCCCCTCCTCTCCTCTGCCCCTTCCTCCCCGAGGCTCCGCATGTGTGCAAACACTTGTGTGAGGAGAGGAAGCAAATGGCTGGGCCCGCGGTCTCCGTCCACCCCTCCCTCCCATCCTGCTGACCCTCCCCCTGGGACTGAGTGGGCAGCTGCTTCCCTGCGATGGAGGATCGCATGTTCCCTGCGTGCTGCCTCCCGGGACCCTGCTCCTCCGGCCACCTGGAGGGTGGAAAGGGCAGTGTCTGCTGCCTCCGGTGTGCCCCTGGCTTGCGTGCGTGCCCCGCACATGCCCGCCTCAGACCCGTGTGCTGGCCACTCTGCGGGGTGAGGGCTGACAGAGCCTCCCTTCCCGGCCGTGTGAGCGTGGAGATGGTTACCTAACAGGAGCAGGGCGGGCCCGATGGCCACGGGCAGGACCCTGCTCTGACGGCATTTCATCTCGGTCCCCATCTGACAAGCCTCCTGGCCGCCCAGGCCGGAGGGAAAGGGCAGGGCTGTCCGGGGAGGCGGGAGGCCCTCGGCGGGTTGCCGGGTGCTTCTGGATGGCCCCTGACGGGAGGCCATGCAGAACCCCCTGGCCCGGGCTGAGCGGCGGCCTCCTCGGTTGGTCACCACGTACAGGGCGGGGCTGCCTGCACACGTGTGCAGGGTCCGTGTCGCAGGGAAAGCCGCTCAGCACCCGGGGCCTCCCTGTCTGGTGGGTACGAGGAGCAGAGTTGGACCCGCTGGCCGCTCAGACGCCTCCCCCGGGGCCGTGGTGAGGGTGGGCCCCGCGTGGGCTGCCAGCCTGGGCGGGGGCGGGCGCCGGTCAGCACATCCCTGCACTGATGGCTCCGCTCCGCGTGGGCCGCTGATTTCCCCGGGGAGGCCGTGGCGGGGAGGGAGCCGCGAGGTTCAGGTTGCACCAGAGGAGGTGCCGCCGGACGGTGCTCAGTGGGTGTCTACTGGGCTCCAGCGCCACGGCTGTGGCAGGCCCGAGGTGCCGGATCCGGCCGGGGAGGAGGTTAGCGGTTCACCTGGAAAGAGGACACTGGCCCCCGGGAACGGAGGCCACACAAAGCACCAGCTGGACGTCCAGGCGGCTGGGGAGCGGCCGGCGGGGCGCCTGCCTGTCCCTCCCAGAGAGAGCCCCCACAGCGGCACAGGTAAAGCCTCGGCTTCGGCAGCTAGGCCAGGGAGGAGAGTGAGTTCGAGGTTCCCCCTCTCCCCGTGGTTTGCTGGCGATATTGGTGAGATGTGAGCGGGGCTGTCCGAGGCGGTGGCCACGGGGTGTTCCGTCGGCCGGTTGGTGACAGTTAAGTACATCCTCCTGACTCATGGGCTGTCTTAGGTGTGTTAACAGCGTGGGGTTACGAAGCTCTCACAGGGTTCCTGAATCCCACGTGACATGAACATGTCTCACCTTCTTCCCAGAAACTAAGCTCTCGGTGCACTTTGTGACTGGAATTCACCGAACCAGAGCAAAGCTCCCCTTTTGGCAAGTGCGTGGGGTCTGATTACAGCAAGCGCTGCCTCCTGTGGGCACATCAGCCTCTCAGCCCCTCCTGACGAGCCCGTGAGGATTGAATGGAAATCACTGCGGAGAACCCCTTAGGCTTCTTTCGGGGAGGAGGGTGTACGTACGGAAGGGTGGTTTTATGTCACCTATCCAAACCGGATTGCTCAGGAGAGCCTCCCTCCTCCCGGCTCTTCCATTCACAATGACCCCGCGCGCTGCCGTTTATTCTCCGCTCCGCTCCGGCGTAAACATGCGCCACCGGGATCCATCCTCCTCCTCGGGGCTGCTTTGTGTGAAGCCCACGTTTTCCCTGGGAGACCTCCACGGCCTGCTCTCCCCGCCGCGCACAGAGGGCCCTCTGCGGAGTCCGCCGTGGGCGCCTTCGTTGTGGGGGGAGGGGGGGGTGGGGGGCGGGTCTGGGTCACACACACACACACACACACACACACACACACACACGGAGGGCAGCAGCCCCGTTCCGACTCGGAGTCCAGATCGCAGACTCCTCTGCGGGAGCTGGCGTGCCCGGCCCAGGAGCGTCCGGTCGGTGCTGGAGCCTGTGTTCGGTGCCAGCCCTCGGCCTGGGTGCCGTGGGGGGTGCCAAGGAAAACGGCGGCCTCCTAGGCCGGAAAGCCCGGCAGGTGTTTCTGACTGTTGTTCACTGGCTTGGCGGCCGAGGACACGTTACGCCCCCGCTGTAGGTCTTGGTGCACACACAGGCAGTGTGCGTGTAGGCTTGCGTGTGTCGCTGTGTCTCCGTGCACACACAGGCAGTGTGCGTGTAGGCTTGCGTGTGTCGCTGTGTCTCCGTGCACACACAGGCAGTGTGTGTGCAGGTTTGCGTGTGTCGCTGTGTCTCCGTGCACACACAGGCAGTGTGCGTGTAGGCTTGCGTGTGTCGCTGTGTCTCCGTGCACACACAGGCAGTGTGCGTGTAGGCTTGCGTGTGTCGCTGTGTCTCTGTGCATGCGTGTAAGTCAGCCCCAGGCGATCCCCTCCAGCGGGGAGCTGGACGAGGCCTGGGCGTGTGGGTGCAGCTGGTTATTAATAGCGCCAGGATGCTCCGTACTGTACGGTTACGTAACGGCTTCAATTAGACAGCCACACAAACAGCGAGGAGCGGGCCACCGGGGGGATGCCTCGCCGCCCTGAGTGGGGACTCGGGGGGGTGTGACAGTCAAACTTGCATCGTATAGGCGATCGTCCCGGCGTCCCCGTCAGGAAGCCCTCGCCCCGGGGAGTCAGTCGCGGGCCCACGTCTGGAGGGCCGGGTGAGCCGGGCCCCGCGAGGGCCCGAGAGGCGCCCTTATGTAATGCAGGTCGATGGGCTGGCGCGCCGGCGGTCCAGGGACCCGGCGTCTCCGCCCGTCTCGGGCTGTTCCTGGAGGTGAGGAGGGAAGTCTGCGGTGACTGTCTGCGGGTGTTTGGAAGTGGAAAGCCCTGCGTGAGTGCCTGCACTGAGCAGGAGCCGGGCCCGGGAGCAGTCCTCAGGGCGGCACTGGTGGCTGTGCGGGGTTCTGTGCAGCAGCCGCAGCCGCCGTCAGATGGGGTGGGAGGAGAGGACAGGGTGGGAGAAGGGAGCCGGGTCCTTAAACTCTGTCCTCACCACCAGCTCCTGCTCTCGGGCGGAGCCAGCTCCAAGGGCGGGAGTGGGCTGCCCAGACCCCTACGATCTCCCAGTGGCAGGACCTCGCCCCACCTCGGGTGCACTCTGCTGGGCTCCCCGCACCTTGGCACCTTGTTCCCACCACCGCTGGCACCCAGAGAGGGCCCTTCCTCCCAAGCTCCTGGGTAACACCTCCGCACCCTGAGGAAGCGGGCGTAACGCATGGGGGTGATCTGGCTATCGAGAGACTTCCAAATCCCCCGGGATTTCCGTGAGGACATTGAATTGTGGTGTGTGTGTGTGTGTGTGTGTGTTTGTGTGTGTGTGTGTGTTTTGTTAATCCTCACCCCAGGATATTTTTTTTCCATTGATTTTTTTCTTAGAGAGAGTGACAGGGAGGGGGAGACAGAGGGAGAGAGAAACATCAATGTGAGAGCGATACATCTATTGATTGCCGCCCACACGCACCCTAACGGGGGTCAGGGATCAAACTTGCAACCCAGATACATGCCCTTGATCGGGAATCGAACTTGAGGGCTGGTTTCCTGTGAGGCACTGTTTCCTCTCTAGGCACTGAGCCACACCAGCGAGGCCATTTGGTTGTTTTTAAATTTGTGTCCACTGTGTTCTAGTTTAAAGATATTCAGAAATAAGCCAACTGGTACCCCAAAAGGGCCGGTGCTGGGGTGGGGGTGGAGCTGAACTGACTCCTTCAGGCCCGGTCACTTCCGAGGGAAGCAGTGACCCGCGGGCCCTCGGGACGTTCTAGAAGGCGTTGCTCGCCTGCATGTCCCAAAGGGGGACACTGAGGCAGCGTCACAGAGCAGGAGCTTCTGTGAGAGCGGAACTTCTCCTCCAGGATGCCGCCCGGGCTCCCGCCCCGCGTGACCGGCTGCAGGAGGGAGAGCAAGAGCACACGGAAGGAGGCGAAGGCCCTCCTGCAGCTCCGAGGATTTCCCAGGACACAGGAGGGAGGCTCCACCCACCGACTAGAGACGCCTTTCTGTCTATCTGACCCGAGGGGGCCACCCCATCAGATAGCACCTACTGATCTTCCCCGGGGGGCCTGCCCACCTGGACGGGCCTCTTGGGGGCAGGAAGGCAGGAGACCGGTGATGGCGGTGGGCAGTTACCTGGATGTAGCGTCTGTTTCCCGCACCGAGGATTACCGGGTTTTCGATGCCGCTCCTGACAGGTGTGAATGAGCACCGACACTGTGGAGCCCTCCAGTGGACCAAGTGGCGGGTCCCGGACTTGACCGAAGGGCTTGCCTAAAGCCTGAGCACGGGTCCGGTGCGGCCAGCGGGCCGGTTTGTGCAGCCGCCCGGTCCTGTGAAGGTGCCCCATGTAGCACCCGAGGCGGGAAACAGAGGCGCCCCAGGCCTCCCGTTCCCGTCACCCCTGGTTTTCAGACT